TATGATACATAAGACTTATATATATCTTTATATGTTGCTGGTCTCATCCATACAGTTTGGTGAAGTAGATACCCACCATCGATAAAAAATTTTGAGACGGTGCTGTTTCGTCACATAGCACAATTGATTCTATTGTATCACATAGAACTGCTTCTGAAATTTTTTACATTAAAAGCGACTCATCAAAAAGTGCTGGAGGCCTTGGTGCCAACTCGTACTTAAAACATGTTGCAGTTTCTTTATCTGATTTGGCTGTACATGTTATAAATTTAAGAACTGCAGAGTATTGATAATTAGCTCTTTTCCATGAACCTTTACAAAAGTCGTCAAAGAACGCAAGGATAAAACTTTAACCGTCAGTTTTAAATGAATATTGGCAAAATTCATTCTAACTATTTTGTTCTAAACATTTATGCCAGTTTCAACTGCTCTATTACAGTAAATTTTATTAGTCGGGTTGCACAAAATGGCTCATTGGCTTATACACAACCAATAAACATGTCGGTATCGCAAATATCACGTGCTTACCTCAATAAACGCACTTCAACGTGTTGTTCTGACGATTCAAAAGTGATACTGCAAAAATCTTCAATACCTGTTGCAACAGTTCAACATCTGGGCATACCGAGAGTTCACCAAGAAAGTACACTGTCGGTTAAACTTTTTCCACGTGTAAGCCCACCTGATGTCTTCATTAATCTCATAAGTACCTGCTCAATGGTCCTGTCAGCCCAAATGCCGGTCCAAAATTAATGTGTTCGGCTAATGGTGAAATACCCGTCATTTGTAATTTTTGAGTATTCTTCCGGAGACATTTTGGACTTAAGCGACAACATCTGTAAATAAAAAACAAGTAAGAAGTGGTTAATGTTGCAACAATGACTTTATAAACGTACATTTGAAACGTACATTTGAAAGGAATTACAGTTGAGAAATAATGTTTTATTAGCGTGCTGTAAACTTCGCTTTCTAAGCCGCAAGGTAATTGACGTTATAATATTGTTTACGTTGTAATTATTTTTTTAGATTCAAAGTCAGTTGTTGAGAAATATAATAAGTTGAAATAATAAATTTTTCACAATTGTAATTAATATGATTATTTATAAATTAACTTACTTTAGATTTCAGTTTAGAGACGTAGAATTCATCAGAGAACAAACTTCATTTTTTAAACAATTAAGAACTGCTGGATTAAATGTTCAACATTAATTTCGATATTAACAAATATAACATAAAAGTATATCAAATAACTTCTAGTTTTAAATGAGTTAATAAAATTAGGAGCAGCTGAAAATTGCTGGAAATGTTCAGCATGTACCCCTTATTAATTTCGAATAAAATTGCACTCCTTTGTTCAGCATGCACTCCTCATTAATTTAGCCAAAATTGAACTGGAGCTTTGTCTGAAATCCAAGATGACGTCCAAGATGGCGTTCAAAATGATATTTGTAATATCTTTTATATACATATATATATATATATATATATATATATATATATATATATATATATATATATATATATATATATATATATATATATATATATATATATATATATATTTACAAAAATAGTTAGCTTATGAAAAATATTGAATACTCTATTTTAAAGTAAATGATCTTTGTTTAGATTTAAATAAAAAGGTGCCTGTATAAACGTAAAATATCTTTAACAATCAAAAAGAAGATCGTAGTTTTGTTTTAGAGTTTGAATCAAATTCTTTCATTATCTAAAGCAAAAATCAGCAAATAAAAGTGGGTAAAAAAAAAAATATAAAGATTTGGAGTTGGATTAGATTCTCTCTTTTTTTTACTTGACAAAAAAGTCGATCATTTTTACTTGTTCGCTTTATTTATAGCTTACTGTTTTGAGTAAACAGGATTAAACAAAGATTAATGATTAAACCTGGTAAAATTTCTTTAATCGCTACTTACTTAAAAGCTATATTATTAGAGCTTTGTAGACTTTTTAAAAAATGAAGCTACATTTTTTCTTAAAATCAATTGTTTTTTAAATTTAGAATTTTTTTTTTTTTTAAGTTTACAAAGTTAGTCATTTTAACAATAAAATAAACTATTAAAACTACTTTACAAATAAATATATACATCCCGTGATAACAGTGTAAACTAGGTTCCGAAAGAAGATCACTAAGATCTTATCTTCGGAACCTTAAAAACATTTATAAACGATTAATTTACGAATACCTTATAAAGTATACGTTACAGTAAAGTAAAATATAGACATAGAATTTTTACATAAGCAAATCTTTAAATATAAATAGTTGTAAACAACAAAACTTTAGAAAAAAATAATAAAAAATTAATTAATAAAAAATTAATTAATAGTACTTTAAAATGTTATCGAGGGAAAAATTATATTTTTAATTTTGTTTTTAAAAAGACAAAAAGAATTTAGTCGATCAAAATCAACATTAGGTAAAACAAGTTTATTCCCAAGGTGCAGTGCACGATAGGCAAGGCAAAACTGATTACAATTTGTTTAATCAAAAAGGTTCGTTTAAAGAATTTTTTTTAAAGAGTGTATTTGTTGCTGGGTTTTAAACTGAAAAGATCTTTAAAGACTAGGAAAGATAGACTGTTTTTCCAAATATAAACAAAGCATAAAATTTTTAAAACGTTGAGTTTAAATATATTTAAAATTTTCATTTCAATAAAATAAGGTTTACAATGAGAAAAACAATCAACAAAGTTAATTATGCGAATTGTTCGTTTCTGACAGCGATAAAGACAATGTAATTTACTTTTTTCAGTACTTCCCCAGGCAATATTAGCGTCGTTTATGTAGCAGTGAATAAATGAGAAATAAAGTTGTCTTAAGTTTTTCTTATTGAGATAAGTTCGAGCTTTGTATAAAACGTCATTAATTGCATTAACAGATATTAAACTTTTTTTTGAATAAACTTGACAATTTATTGCTATTTTATCTTTATTTATGTAAAACAAATGTATAAAGACGCTTTTATAAATTTGCTTGGAATTAAAAGTAATAATGATTTAAAAAAACTTGCCATATCTTGCTATATTCTATATCAGAAAATACTGTATTTAAGTATATTACAGAGTGAAGAGGTACGCTACGCCTCCCCCCCCCCCCCTCCGATGCCATCGGCCCTGCAACAAACAAATGGGAACGAATGGGAATTTACAACTTTATCGAAATTTTATCTTTGAAGAAATTTCCTGGATGAATTTAATTCTCTTTTTTGTTTTTGAGTCAAGTTTGTAATTTAACTTTTTTTTTTATGTCAATTGACTTTAATCATTCAAATCTTAGAAATTAAAATTAACTGAATATTTTTATTTTAATATAGTTAATTGAATATAATACAAATAATTAAATCTTAACTGCACACTCAAAATGAATAAGCCAAAAATAAAACTACGTTTTATTTTTGGATCATTTATTATTATTATTAATGCACGACAAAACATCGAGTGGATAAACGGTAATTACGATATAACGGATTAGAATAGCACAATGCGCAACAAAAAAAAAAAAAAAATGATTTGACTGCAATAAATTGATATGCGCAAGCACTTTTTCTATTTTAGAAAAAAAAATTAAAAAGGTGTATACATGCTTTTGGAAGTTCTTTGTTCTCGTTATAACCAAACTTAGAGATACTTTGACTAGTTGGGGTTAACTTCCCGAAGTAAAAAAAATTTAAGATAAAATGCATTTAATCTCAAAGTTTAGAAACAACTATTGAAATAATAAAGTTGAAAAATTATAATTTATTATAAGGTTATGATGATTTAAGAATATTAATTTTTTCTCTTCACTTTGAAATAACTTTCTGTAAATTTTATATATTACGAATTTATAAAGATTATATATTACTATTAATTATATATATTACTATTATCATTAAAATTATATATTACGAATTTGTAAAGATTAAAGAACAAAAAATAAAAAAACCTATGTCATTAAAATACACATTAAAAAAGTTTTTAAACAATAGAATGGCGCACATACGTTTTCAAAAGGTTTTTGGTTGATAAAAATGATCCTTAAGTATTTTTTAAAAATGCTGTTTTTTGAATTTAATGGTGGTTTTGTTGAAGATTTAATCAAACTCCATATATAACAGTTGGTTGCTTAACTTACCTTACACAGCTGTAAAATTTATCCCGCTAGAACAGGTTATGCAGCACGGTTATGCAATATCTTTTCAAAGAAATTTAGCAGATTAAATTAACTATCTAATAGTAAAGCATTATGTAAATCTCAGTGTTGCTACGTTCAAGAAATTTGTTGGTTTTAATAAAAATTGCTAAATTAGCTAAAAATATTTTTAATCATTTTTAGCAGATTAAATTAACTTTCTAATCGTAAAACATTATGTGAATCTCAGTATTGCTACGTTCAAGAAATTTGTTGAATTTTATAAAAATTGCTAAATTAACCCTAACTTACCTTATTTTCAATAAACATGTGTTTAATACTCTTGTTAAATGCTCTTATAATATACTTTTAGAAGAGTTTTAAAACAGAGTAAACATACCGTTTTAAATATTAAATCTATTTATATGTATTTTTTAAATATCTCAATAGATTTTATTCTTATGTAGCAACATTTAATAGTCAGACAGGGATAGGAATTGATAGGCGTTTTTTAAAAGGTTAAGAACTTCATTCAAATGTTTTTTATTTTTATTTTTATTTTTATTGAGGAAAAAAAAAGATCATTGATTCTTATTTTTGTTTTTAGATACGTTTAAATTTTTTTTTAGAAGCAAATATTTCGCTTATGAAAGTTTAAAAAAACCATTAAAAAATACACTGGGAAATTTTTGATTTGTATATCCATCAATTAAGCTATTCAGATGTAGGATTTCCCAACTAATCCTACTTACGTGAAGAATGCCAAAACATATTGTGCGACAAAACCTTTGTTGTCTTTAAGATTTTTTGACAAAAAAATGACAAAATTCAAACCAAGTTGTTTTACGTTTAAAATTGCTTTAGCTAAAATAAGAAAAGATTGGGTGTTGAGTGGGTAGGTGAAAAGTGTGAAAGGGCGGGAATTGATGGCGGGAGAAATTGATGCTCCTCAAGATTTACGACTTAAATTTAATAAACAAAAATAAAGGAAAATAATACAACAAAATAAAAGTGCATAACAATAAAAACAGATTCAAACATTTTTCATGGCGTATCTAAATAATTATTTACATAAAAAATATTTATCAAAAGATAAAAGAAAGAAAATGAAGAGTCGCTTCAAAAAACTTGGCTGAAAAATAATTTTCTTCTACAAAAAGGATTTGTAATTTCGCCTAAAATCAGCATTAAAATTAACCAACAAACTCCATCTTTTGTCAAGATTTTTTTAGCGTAACACAAGTGCTTAATTACGATCACAGCAACCATCACATTAGTCTATCACAGTCATTACAATCGGCTATTACACTATATTGACAATAGTCTATTATTGATCGAATTCCGCTTAAAAGTTTCTAAGATGAATACGTTTAAATGGTTCAAAAACGAACAGTTCAGCTAAGACATTTTTTGTTATTATAAAAGGAGATAGGTTAATAATAATTATGGAACGCAACGAAGAAAAAAACTTTATTGAGTTAAACTTATTACTTTAAAATTTATTGAGTGCAGCGAAAGTTACATTTTCAATGGAACTTTAATATATCAATAGTAGACATAAAAGGTTTGTATTACTGTTTATATGCGTATATTATCATTCAAAAAGACACACCCACAATCAAAGTTCCTAATTAAATTTGATGACTTTAGAAAACTTTTGAAGTATATACCTTAGTAAAAATCATCAAAAAAGCTTATCAAATAAATTTGCTCAAAAAACTGATCATTTTAAAAAGCTAGTATTGTATCTCCGATATAAAGATGGTTATCTCCAAAATATTGAAACCTTAAAATTATGAATCTTCAAAAATTGAGTATATTAATCTCAATAAAGTTAACCGGAAATTTATAATAATAAAAGAATGATTTAAAAATAGTAAAAAAAAAAATTTTTTAAAGTTTTTTTTTTGTTTTTTGATTATTTAATACAATACTTTTGTTGTTGTTGTTTTTTATTACAACTTATATATATATATATATATATATATATATATATATATATATATATATATATATATATATATATATATATATATATATATATATGTATATATATATATATATATATATATATATATATATATATATATATATATATATATATATATATATATATATATATATATATATATATATATATATATGTATATATATATATATATATATATATATATATATATATATATATATATATGTATATATATATATATATATATATATATATATATATATATATATATATATATATATATATATATATATATGTATATATATATATATATATATATATATATATATATATATATATATATATATATATATATATATATATATATATATATATATATATATATATATATATATATATATATATATATATATATATATATATATATATATATATGTAAATATATGGCCGTCCCGAAGAAATTTTAAAGGAGGAGGGGGTGGGGTGTTGTGTCTGTTTTTTGCCGACTAAAGTTAAAAAAACATTTTTTTGCTCACTAACTTCTCTAAAAAAAAAAAAGTCCTCTTTTTCCGATTTGCCGACTGCCAACGACAAATCCAATTTTGCCGTCTCTAGTGTCCAACTTGCCGACTAATAAAATTCGTAGGGGGGCTAGACATTAATACGCCCTCCCCCCTCGGGACGGCCCTGTATATATATATATGTATATATATATATATATATATATATATATATATATATATATATATATATATATATATATATATATATATATATATATATATATATATATATAATAAATGCAAATAAAGGTTACATTAAAAAAATAATAAAGAACGCAGAAATTCGAACATAAAATACTGAGAAGTACTGAGTGTATTGAAGAGAGAGTAAAAATTTTGCTTAAAACTTTTTAAAAAGTTTTTATTATTATGTAGATATACTTATATTTTTAAGTAAATTATAATGGTGAAAAATTTTCGAAAGTTATAAAAAAAATCAATTTTTATTTGATGAAAAATGTTTACTTGTCTCTTTATAATTGGTGAAAAGTATATAAAATAAATGTAAAAAATAAAAATAATATGATCTTAATAATAACTATTTAAGATCTTAACAAAATAAAGCTATATATATATATATATATATATATATATATATATATATATATATATATATATATATATATATATATATATATATATATATATATATATATATATATATATATATATATATATATATTATGTACAAAACAAATTTTTTTCTAATTATATTATTGACAACTTAACTGAGATAATAATTAATAACAATACTAATCAAAAAGCATTGATAATTAATAGGGATTTTCACGGGTTTAAAAGTATGTAATTATATTGTCAGTGGAATATATAAATATATATTGAACTGAAATTATATATATTTTTTTACAGCAATCACAGTCTGGTTTAATACGTTACCTCATACCAAACCAAGAAAAATAAGATTTAGTTCTAAAAGCTTTAAAGAAACGATAATAAAAAAGTGACTTTTAATCAAATCGTCTTTTTTATAAGCCATATTTTAAAACATCCCCAATACTCATTCTAAACCTTCATACGTCATGTATAGAAAACAGTTAAAAAGTCAGGGTCTTTCAATTGAAAGGCATTCGTCGATGCCTGAAATGACCCGCGACGAGTTTTTAGAAAAAATGAAAGAATCCACCACCAATTTAAAAAGAAATAATAGTTTGAGCAACGTTTCTACAACTCTCCCAAAAAGGGTCATAAAAACAAAAGTTTCCAGTAGATTACTTCAAGGGACAGCCGCTAGTCAAGGTAAAATAAAGGAAAAAGTTTCCTACGTCCCTATAAACAAGAAGCCTGATCCTATATGGACCCAACAACCAATAGGAAACGTTGACAGTGGATACCAAACACAGACTTTTATAAAATACCACGATTTTGACAAGAAAAAGAGCTTTCAGTATTCAGATTCAAAAAAAGAAGATCGAGAAGAAATAATTACCTTTGAAGCAAGTCAAAAATCATTTAACACCAATAAGCATTTAGCAAGCGATATCAGTATTGAAAGAAAAACGGTATCAAAAGAAAGCAGTCAAAAACAAACACTTGTAAATGAAAGCAAGTATTCAAAACAATCTTCGTTTACTTCTTTGCCACCAGAAAGAAAAACTAGCATCAAATCAGATTCATTTAGTTTTAAAACTCCTCAAAGTAAAAATAACAACGATTTACCAAAGTTTTTTGGACCAAAAACTGTTGAAAGCAACATTGGCTCGCAAATGTTAAAAGAAGAAAGAACAAAGGATGATGAAGATATACCCACACGTTTGTTTCAAAAATATAAAGACGGAAAGTTGCTTCAGAACGTTGAGCTTTACCAAAGTAGTTCACAAGAAACATCTGAGTTTAAGACTAGAAAAACTTCTAGTAACAATAAAGAAGACAATTTTTCAAATATTTTTTCAAAAATACAGTATTCCAGCCAAGATCAAATTTCCGTTGACTTTTCACGACGTACTTTTACAACTTTATCTTCGGGAACATTTGATTCCAATACTTTTAAATACATATATACCGTTGACGCCGAACTTAGTTACAAGGAATACAACAAGTTATTAAGTATGATCAACTTGTTGCAAGGCCAAAAGCGTAAATTGGAAGACGAAGTCCTAGAACTAAAAGAAAAGTTTGAAAAGACTGGTAAAGAAAAAATGCAATTAGCTCACAACAACCATATATTAAGACAAAGCTTGGATGCAGCAAATCGAGCAATAAAAGAGATTAACGATAAAGTAAGCGAGTTAAAGCAAACACTGGTGCCACTAAGACAAGATAACACTCAATTAAGGAAAGATAATGATTTACTTAAGGCTGAAAAAGTTCAAGTTCAAAAAGAAATGAATGAACTTAAAGTACATATTGAAGTATCCAAGAATGAAAAACTTGTTATGACCAATGAAATTCAAGACCTTAAGTCATTAAAATGTTTAGCAGAAGATAAATTGTCTCAACAAAGTCGGGAAAACGAAAATTACAAAAACAGTATGCATGAAAAGTTTAAAAAACTGGAAGAAGCTTATCGAAATTACTGTTTAGATATGGAAAAAAAACTAACGAAATCAAGTAATGAAGTTGAGAATTTGAGAGAGACAAACGAAACTATTAAATCGGAAACTGATAGTTTGAAAAAAGAAAATGAATTTTTGAAAGAGATAAATGGCGGTTTAGTTAAAACAAATCAAAAATTGCAAAATGAAATTTCGCAAATTAAAGAAACCCAATTTTCTAATGAAAAGAACACAAAATCAGAGTTCTTTGAAGCACAAAAGTTGCAGATTGAAGAACTCAACGAAGAAATTATTCATTATAAAGAAAAAACAAATAGGTTCAAAAATAATTGCAAAGTTTTACAAGTAGAAATTGAGAAGCTGAAGAGGGACATAAGTAATACTGAAAACATTTGCAAAGATTCGGAAGCAAAATACGAGATGGTGTTTAATTTAAGAAAAATTGACGGACAACAAATTGAAATTCTCAAAGAAGAAGCTGAAGAGCTAAAGAAAAAATTAAGCAATTTAAACGAAATACGCGACGAAAAAGAAATATTACAAAAAGAGAAGCAAGCGTGTTTAGATCAACTTGAACTCATGCGAAAAGAAATGGAAGAACTAAAAAGGTTGTGCAGCGAATGTAAATCCCACCTTGATGAAAACAATCTACTAAGATCTGAGTTAGAGATGTTTAAAAATCTTCTTAACGACTTTGAAGAACTCAAGCAAAAAAAAATAAACGACGATAAAGAGAAAATAGAGCTTATAGGGGAGCTCCAAAATCTAAGAGAACAGCTGAGAATACTTGAAGAGAAGCAAAAATCCATATCAAGTCCATATAACAACGAGATAAAAGTTGAGTTAGAAAACCTTCGCCAACAAATGAAAGATTTAGCAGAACTCAACGAGAGACGAAAAATTGAGTTATATACTGGGGAGATTAAGTCTGAGTTAGAAAACCTACGTTTGCAATTTAAAGAAATGAACCGGCCAAACCAAAGTGCTGATGCAATAAAAGACGAAAACTATAATAACAAAAGTGAGAAAAACAGACAATTTCATCAAGAAACTGTCGATTCAGTTGACCAAAGTAGACATGTTTATGATAAAAGCAAACTCCACGATGGAAAAAATAATCATCCTCATGACAAAATTAGCTTTCTGGACAACAAAAGTGAAAGGTTGAGTAAAATAAATGATCACCTTACTGATAATAAGTCAAGCACCATAATAAAAAATCAACATTTGCCAATTAATGAGCACGTAAAAGCACAATCTGTTGTCATAGAAACGGAAGTTTACTCTGCGATTGAAAACGAACTATCAAACGTTCCAGATCAAGAGTTCTCCGATAACGAAGAAACAAATAGAATGCAAATTTTTTTATCAAATAAAGAAGAAAATGAACTCAGGCAAAATCAGTCTCTTTATCAAGTTACAAATGACCAAGAAAAAAAGCATCCAATTACTAGAGAAGCTTCTAATAAAAAAAAAGAAGCGACCTTTGCAAACAAACTGGAGCAAGAAACGTTACTTTTAATTGACGAAAACACAAAAAAAATTCGAGATACCGAAACTCATAATGACCAAGATATGAGTTTTCATCATAATTACAGAAATAAAGATAAACAAGGCAAAACTGACTTCTTAAACGAACAAGAAAATATCCAAATTCTACAACATAAAAATGAACTAAAAAATATTCAACTTGTAAATCAATCTGCAACACAAACTGTAATACAACCTTTAGCACAATTTGCAACTTATAAAGAACACAAGAATAAAATTAATCAAAACCTATACTATAAAGAAGATAAAAAAATTTTAGCGGAGGATTATATTAATAAAGAAAAAGGAGAATTTTATGTCTCTAACGAAGAAGACAGTATACCTCAAATAGAAAAGTTCACTTCTAATGAAGAAGACAGTATACCTCAAATAGAAAAGCTCACTTCTAATGAAGAAGACAGTATACCTCAAATAGAAAAGCTTACTTCTAATGAAGAAGACAGTATACCTCAAATAGAAAAGTTCACTTCTAATGAAGAAAACAATAGGAGAATGGAATTTCAACAGAGCTACTCAGACAAGGAAAACACTAGAAAAGGTCTTTTAAATGAACACAGTATAAGATTACACCAAAATCGTTATGAAAATGAATTCTCTAAAGAAAGTTTTTTTTATGAACAATCAAGTCAAAATGATAAAATGATTTATCAACAAAATGATAATTTAGCAAAAAAGCATGAGTTCGAGGTTTCAAATAATCAACAAACTAACCACATAAAACTTATTGGAGAAAATAGAAAGTATCAAAATGAATTTTATGGGGACGAAAATGAACTTCGTCAAAATGTTTCTCCGCAATCTTATACTCAAAACAATAGATCCGTAAATAATACAGATTTTTATGAAGGAGATAGCATATTTCATCAAGTATTACCCACAAATAATGAGACAAAAAAACAAACTTTAAATGAAAATGATAGATCTAATAAAAATCTTATCTACGATGAAGACAATCAAGGAAATCAGATTACAGAAAAAAATAAGTACGGAAAAAATCAAAAAATGCACGAGTCGAGTTTTAACAAAACAAAAATTCAGGAGCTCGAAGAAAGGCAAAAGGCTCAAGTGGAAGGTAAAAACATATACGAGGAAGACCAAAGTATGCAGAAAATAGATAAAAGAAAGCAGATGAAAGATGAAATAAAGAATGAAGATAATTACAAAATACAAGAGGAAAGTGATAAAAAATATTATGAAAATCAAGGAATGCATGAAAGAAGTGAAAGTAAAAATCATGAAAACGATAGAAAAGATATAACAAGTACTAATAAATACAAAGAAAGACAAAAAGAGAATTTGGAAAATGAAAGAATATACAAAGAAACACAAAGAATGCAGTTGATAGGTGAAAACAATTATGAAGGAAATCAAATAATGCAGATAACAGATAAAAGAAAACATGAAGAAAATTACAAATTACAAAAGGAAGTTGAAAATAAATTCAAAGAAAATAAAACAACGCGTGTAACAAGCGAAAGCAGGTTTCAAGAAAGTCGCGAAAGATATACAACCGATACAAATAAATATGAAGATAATCAAAGAATGCATACGACATCCGATACAAACAAGTATGGAGATAATCAAAGAATGCATACGACAACCGATACAAACAAGTATGAAGATAATCAAAGAATGCATACAGCAACCGATAAAAATAGATATGAAGTTAATCAAAGAATGCATACAGCAACCGTTACAAATAAATTTGAAGTTAATCAAAGAGTGCATACGAAAACCGATACAAACCAATATGAAGATAATCAAAGAATGCATACAACAAGCGAAAGCAAATATAAAGAAAATAAAAGAGAAAATGCAGCAGGTGTTGACAATTATCAGGAAAGACAACGAATGCAGTTAACAAATGAAAACAAATACTCAAACCAAAGGATACAAGCGGAAGATGAAAATGAATACAAAGAAATACAAATAATGCAGGTCGAAAATGAAAACGTACATCAAGAAAATCAAAAAGTGCACATAAAAGACACAAAAAATTACAATGAAAAACAAAAGCAATTGACAGATAAAATGAATTACGAAGAAAATAACAGACAACAAGCTGATGATAAAAACAAGTTCGAAGAAAATCGAAGAACACATGTAACAAGTGAAAACAAGCACCAAAAAAATGAAAACGTAACAGGTACAAAAAAATATGAAGAAAAGCAGAGAATGCAGATGGCTGACAAAAACACAAATCAAAAAATGCAGGAGAAAAACGATATTAAATACGAAGAAAATCAAATAATGCAGGTAAAAGAAGAAATTAAATTTGAAGAAAGGAAAAGAATGCAAGTACGTCAAAATCTTCATGAAGAAAATTATAAAATGCTGTCAACAGATAAAAGATACAAAGAAAATACAAATAACGATTTTAGATTAAGTCAACGTGATGTAGATAATAAGCAAATATTTACTCACAGTGATGAAAGAATAGAAAGTGTTCAAAGCCAAAGTATAAATCAACAAAATAATGCGTTTGTTTCAAATGAGTCATTTGTAAGAGGGTCACAAAAAGCATTTAATCAAGATGTATTTCTGAAAGTACCTTCCTTATCACATAAAAAAAATTCAAATTCTCATAAAGAAGAACCAAAACTGAACATAGTACAGTTCAACATCAGCAAAGACAACAATCAAAAAAATAACAATTTAAATTTACAAATTGAACAAAAACATTTGCAAGATCCCAATAAGCTCCCATACCCCTTATCTGAAAACTTAAACAAAAAACAAGGTTTTGTTGGTAGAGAATTTGCCGAAAGCGCAAAAATTAGCAACGAAACGATTTCTTTGGATCATAAAAAGAATTATAACCAAGACTATGAAGTAAACAGCAGAACAGAAAACAGTAGAACAGAAAACAGCAGAACAGAAAAGAACTTTTCAAACAGACCAGAAACAAAATTAGAAAAAATAGAAAAAAAAAGTCAAAAAATAGAAATGGAAAATTCAGAGTACTTTAATGAAGTAATTAGTTCTCAATTAAATCAAAAGTTGAACAATTCGCATTCGCAGCTTTTTAATAAAACAAGTGACGAAAGCAAGCAAAAGGGTTTACATTATAATGCTATGGGAAATCAAAAACTACCAGCAAGTCATTTAGAAAACAATTTAAGACATAAAGAAAATATGTATTTTTCAAACATTTCATTGCAGCAAAGAAATGAACTGAGTGATACTAATACAACCACTATAAATACAACTCGAGGGAGATCACCAGTACGACGAGAACACAAAAAAAATAAAAGTGTAGGGAGCGTAGCATCCTCAGAGTTTATGATAAATATAAAACAACAGAATGTTTCAACACAGCAAGAAGAACAAGAAATAAAAAATAAGCGATCAGATTCAGAGACTCAACTTCAAAAAAGAAGAAGGCTAAGCGAAGAAAGGAGAAAAAAAAGAAGAAGCAACGACGGTGAAAGCAGTTCTGATGAAAACATTTCAAGGCAAAGAGAACCAAGAAAAAATTCCAAAAACAAAGGTGCTCCAATAAATGTAGAAGCCAACAGCGGCTCTGATTTTCTAAGTGAAGCAATGAAATCAAGACAAGAAAAAGCCTTTCTTAATAAAATTCAAGGTTAGATTGTACTTTTTTAAACTTACTTTAAAGTTATTTTCTATATAGCATACAAAAATGATATGCATACATATACACGTTATGTAATTAAATTTCTGCATACATTTTATAAACGTATATTCAAAATAAAAATCAAACGACCATCCGTAACTTTTGATTTTTGTGCAGAGTACCGTATATCTTTCACTGTTGGCTATTTTTGGAAATGAAAGTGAAGTCTTCTCTACGGTCCGAACTAAAATATCTTATATTGAGAATGTTCCCCGTCGGCAAAAAGGTTTGAATTTTGACTTCTGATTTTGAACGGTCAGAGATTTAATCAGTTGACTGACTTTAAAGGCAAGATTGTTAACCAATGTTGTTTTTTGTTCAGAGCTGAAATTTAATATCTGATCTTTCAAAATAAGAAATCTGAACTCAAACCATTTTGGCGCATCAAAATAGAAAAATGGCTTCATTGGGTGATTTAAGCGTCGTATTTAAATAGACAACTTTATTCTGAAAAATCCACAACTTTAGTCTGCAAAAGCTTGCATTTTACTAACTAGCATTTTTTGTAATTTGTTTTTTTCATTTATCCTAATTAATAATATATCACATAAATAAATACCCATACAATACAAACTTTATTTGGTAGTTTACTTGCTTCCAAGGAAAATATTTTTAAATTCATTTAATAAAGAATATTTTGTTTAAGAAACCATTATTAAGTGTTAGTTATATTACTTATGGAAGAATAAAGCACAAAGATTTAAGATATCTTTTTTAATTTCTTGCATGATAAACAAATTTACTAATTATAAGTATATATATATATATATATATATATATATATATATATATATATATATATATATATATATATATATATATATATATATATATATATATATATATATATATATATATATATATATATATATATATATATATATATATATATATATATAGTGATAGATATATTTAAAGCTAATTATAAATTTTGTAGCAGCAATTTATAAATAGGTTCACAAAATACAGAGCGCGACATCAACTTTACAGATGTTGGCCATCTAGAAAACAGCGAAGAAAGAACTAAACGCAGTCTTAAAAATAAAATTCGAAAGCAACTAGTTGATGGAATAAAAAAAAACTCAAATTGGAACTCTTTTAGTGACTCGGAAACGCACACGATAAACTTTACAACAACTCGCACAGAGCACACGCTCAATCAAAATGATAAAGTTTCAGGTAAAGCGAAAACTAATAATAGTAAGAGCTTTAACAACGATTTGTCGTTTCATAAAAATACTGATGAAACAAGGCGTTCTGATAACAAAGGACATTTTAAAAAAGTAGAAAAAACAGAGTTTTTATATGACGATGCTTTGGAGTCTAGAAGAGAGGTTGCTAAAACAGAATTACAAGAAACAACCGAAGAAATATCAGGAAAAAATAGTCATAAAATTGACAGGTGATTTTTATTAATAATTAATAAGCTTTGACATAAGACTAAAAAATAAGTTGGTTAAACAAATTTACTTGTTGTAATTATAAAAAAAACCATCTAATAATTTAATGACCAGATATGATTGACTGACCGTGACTTGAGTGAACGTTTTCATCTTCATTTTTATTCGCCAAAAGTTATTTGTTTTATTTGTTACATGGTATTTGTTTTATACATTACATGGTAGATGAAATCTTTAAGGGGTATTCAGTTTAAATCTTTTCCTGGACGAATACTTGTTCACTCACTCAGGAAAGCCTGTGTAATGTTTAATCTTCACACTAAAAAGCTAAAATTTTGTCTGACTTTGATTTTCTCTTGAAATTTTTTCCATCCAGACGATTGTGGACTCTCTCGAGATACTCAGCTAGATAAAAATATGTCGTAACACTTAAAATCCAACTCTTTAATTTTTTTTTTTTTTTCCTGCCTTTTTATTATGTTAGTGCTATTTAACGTTTGTTTTATTATAATTTTCATTAACAACTTAATAGGTAGAAAATCAGATGAGTCCAAAAATTTTGTGATCTATACTGTTTGATGTAAAGTTTACTTATTAATTACTTCTGCTAAAATATCTCAAGTTTTTTTTTCTTTATTTTTGTTGCCATTACAAGAAATTAATTAAAATATACTCCCATAATACCTTATTATTGTTATTATTTTTAAAAAACCGGAGAAAACTTGTTATTTTAAGTCATCGCTGTTTTAAATTAATTTCAGCTATCTAACGCAAGAATTTATAAAATGTTTAAATACAAAATGTAGTTTTATTAATGCTTATAGGTGCATTGACTTTATCATATTTTTTTTAATTTTGTATATTTATTCAGTAATCAATAATTATTTACAATTTTATTAAAATCGCACAATAAAAACAGTTCGTGGTACGAATTTATCTAAACTGCATATTCTAATTATTGACGGAGATAGTTCAAAGACATGGCTCCTAGTTCTTAAAATGTATTTAGATCCTCGATAGGCTGGTGTAGTTTGTGGCGCCACAAAATTGATTAAATCAATTCTATTAACTATTTTGTACTGCTGTATAAGATCAATGCGCATGCGGCGAGTTTCAAGAGTAGTCAGATTAAGCCGTGTTAAACGTTCCTCGTATTTTAGATTACTTATTGACCTGATCCATTTCGTTGTTCGATGCTGAATTTTTTCAATTGTGTTTATACTCCTATGAAATGAGGAGACCACGCTGGGGCAGCAAATTCTAATAATGGTCGGATATAGGTAGTATATAAAAAACGCCAAAGAGTTAAACCACGACTTCTGAATCCCTTTTTAAATTTCCCTGTACTCTATTTCCAGCTGAAGCTGCGTGTTCAGCTTATAATTTCACTTTAAGGTTATTGAAAACTATAACTCCCAAATCGCATTCTTTTGTTGTGGTTTCGAGTTGTTTGCGATGACCATTTTGTGATTCCATTGTAAACAAATAGTTTGGATTATTATTTTTTTTTTTGCCCATGTGCATAACTTAGCATTTTTCAATGTTAAATGGCATAAGCCAATTTTTGGATCAGTTTACAGCAGTGTCAAGATCTTTTTAAAGACATAGTGCATCTTTTTCTGACTTGATAACACCTATGATCTTGTTGTCGTCTGCAAACATTTTTATATGATTCAAAATTAAGTCCGGTAAATTGTTAATATAGAGCACAAAAAGGAGCGGTCCTAAAACCGAACCCTTAAGGGACTCCGATAAACACTTTTTTCCATGGAGACAATGTATCATCTTTTTTGACACGTTGTTCTCTATTTGTTAGCCAATTTCTTATCCAGTTATGTAGTTGACGTGAATACCATAAGCCTTTAGTTTATATAAGAGTCTTTCGTGCGGTACCTTATCGAACGTTTTTGAAAATTACGTCTTGAAAATAGGTGTTACTTCTGCTTTTCTCCATTGATCTCGAGCAAAGGATGTTAAAATAGAAGATTTAAATAACATGGTTAAAGGCATTAAAAAAGCTTCTGCGCAATTTTTTTAAGACTCTAGGATGGATTCCATCAGGACCTATTGCTTTTGAAGAATCAAGTTTAAGCAGTCTGTTTTTGTCTTCTTCATATGTAATGAAATCGATTCTGCTGTCGCAAGTGACAGGAGATTGGTTTAAAAAACTTAATAGCGGTCCTTGCGGCTCTACTTCAAATACAGCATAAAAATAATCATTCAATGTCTTACATATGTTAAATATGTTATTGGTCACCGATCCATTGCTGTTTTCAAGTAAATAGATTTTATCATGGACTTTGATTTTGCTTTTCACATAAGAGTTTAGTCCCTTTGGGTTATTTTTAAACGAAGAAGTTAATGCCTCCTCATAGTCAATATTTGCTTTTTTCACAACTTTTAAGACGGTTTTTGCTGCTTTGCTATATTCTGCTCTGATAAGTTGGTGCGTCCCTGGTTCTGCTGATACATATTTACCCCAGAGTTTACTCTTGTTTTTTACAGCTTCCATAACCTCACTACTAATCCATGGATTTTTTTTTTGGCTGGTATGGTTTTGTGGTACTTGGTATGTAGAGTGAAGTAGCTTCATTATATCTTTCAATTAAAAGTTTGTATTTTTCGGCCTCTGATGTACTTTTGAACAATGCCTCCCAGTCATAACTTTTAATATAGTTCGAGATAGATGTATAGTTTGCCTTGCTCCACACTAATCGAGAAATTATAGGTGGTTCATTGTTTTTTATTGTTGCTGCGAGTGAACCTACAATAGTTAGGTGAGCTTGTTCCTCGTGGGTAGATCTTAAAGGTTCAGCTTGAGTTAAGAAAATTATTCTGTCTGGCTCATTGGTTATAATTAAGTCCAAGATGGACTTAGTTATAACCAATGAGCCAGATGAGGTTCTTTAAAACGTGAATTTCGAAAGGTTGGGAAAGTGACAAGAATTGATTTGATGATTTCTAGGAGCGCAAGTTCGTTGTTATTTGGTGGTCGGTAGATACACTCTAAAAGGAGTGATTCATTTTCGAGTTTCAGCTTTATCCATATATGTTTAATGGTGTTTTTGTTAAACTGTTCAATATTTGCGAGCGTGCACTTGAGATCGCAAATAGCTACACCCCCTCCTATTTTTCCAGCCCTGTTTCGTGAAAAGATGTTATACCCTGCAATAGCAGTATCTGAAGTCTCAGTAAACCACGTCTCAGCAAATAAAATAAGATGTTGGCGGTTATGCTTGGTGGTTGATTGTATTCTGGCTTTCAACTTGTCAATTTATGTTTGATTAAGTGAGCATGGATTATTTGCCCAAAAATTGATGTTACTGAGAACTTTTACTGAATAAATTTTAGGTAATTCGGGCTACTGAGGTATGACAGGAAAAAGTCGAATTAATGGTGATTTTCGAGTTGGGCATTTTCTTTTAAGATTGACGCTCGGTGGTTGTAACGATTGGAATTGTTGAGGAATATACTCGTTTCTGTTTTAAATCGATGTCTTAATTTTATATTTCTTTTTCCAAAATACTTGCACCAAATAGTAATACGATTTTTAATGATCAAATTTTAATAAACTAATATGATGATAATATCTTCTGCAAATTAATGAATAAATGTTTTATTTTATTTAATAAAATAGTAAAATAAAAAGTAATAAATAAAAATAGTTTTATTACTTTTTAAAAAAAACTATAATCAAATTTATTTTTTTCAGTTTATTTGATATATTTTGTTTTTGATACTTTACAATTAATGAAAATATTTAAGCATAAACATAATTTATAATAGAAAGTAACAAAAACAGTAAAATGTTTAGGTTTTTAGCAACAAACAAAAGTTTTCCGTCAATGTCCAACAAGTTTGAACATGTAAACCAGGAAAACGCAAACGTTTTGCAAACAAGCAATCATTTTGTAGGAAACGTTCACGCTAAACCTAACTACCAATCTGGTGGTTCGCAAATTAATTTTATGGAAAATCGTAAAAAAGAAACTAGTTCTATAAATAATTCTTCATTTGAAAGAAGTTTTGAAGAACAAAATATTAAAAAGCGTTACCTATCAAATGAGGAAACAACCCATTCTGTATCCCATATTGACACAAAGTATAATGTTAAACACATAATGCATTCTAGCGGTAGTTTAGAACAATCAAAGCCAACACAGGTTTTAAACCAACTCGTTCAAGATGAAACACAACAAGTTTACAAAAAGTCTTCTCATACCTTGCAAACAAACCAATCAAACTACTTGGAAACAAACCAATCAAACTACTTACAAACAAACCAATCAAACTACTTGGAAAAAAATAAATTCGTTGACAGACAACAGGCCTCTCAGTTTCATAAATCACACTCAACATCAGAACAAACAGCAAGGTCTAATGCTCTACAAAAAGAAAATAACGAGATGTACGCAACAGTGGAAAAGAAGGTTTTAATCAAGAAACAGTACAGTGAAGCTGAGCTAGAACAAATGGAACGCATGGAAAGAGCAAGAATCAAAATGTTATTGAGTAAAGGTACAATACTTATTTAACATTTTGTTTTATGTTATTAATTTTTTAGGTTTAATATATATATATATATATATATATATATATATATATATATATATATATATATATATATATATATATATATATATATATATATATATATATATATATATATATATATATATATATATATATATATATAAAATAAACATATTGATTTTATATTTTATATATTACTTGTTCCGTATACTTTAGGAGAATCAGACAGCCCAGTCATTGTTCAAAAATTTAATTCAAGTTCTGTCAAATCTTCATCTTTGGAGAACATTATTACAAAAGATGGAGTCCCATTATCTCGTTTGAACAAAATTGAACAGAGTGAATACGAAAAAAATTTAGTTTCAAATAGATTTATGAAATCTAATAGCGAATACGAACTTTCAGCAACGCAACAAAAATACGAAACATTGCCTAAAAACAGTGGAAAACAAAACAAAACCGAAACTGTCACTCGGTCAGCAACACTTCCACGAAACATGAAGACACAACATGTCATAAGCCAGGAGTACTACAACAAATCCACTGATATTATAAAAAATGCTGAAAACACTGGCAAAAGTAAAAGTCGCAGTTATCGTGATATGAAAATGGATGTCGATCTTTTCCATAAGAAATCAGGTAAGATATGTTTTCAAAGTTTATGCGTTAACTATAAGTAATTTAGTCAAACATGGGAGTAGAAAATGCCTTCATCTTTTTACTCGTTTTCTTCTTTAGTACGTTATCTTTTAGTACTCGATATCTGCTTTCTTCAATATGAAAAATTACTTGTAGACAGTTTTTCTAATAAAAAACACTTTTAAACTAATATCTTATCTTTAATAAAGTTGTGTCAGGGGGTTGCAATATCTGATCTTATTATTCTTATTTATTTCTCAGGTAATTTTTATTATCAAGTAAATTAAAAAATGTGTTTAGGATCCAACCTAATTTCAAATCGGCAAAATTTTATGTCAAACGACAGCCTCGGTGGATATTCTCAAATAACCTACACCACTGTTAGTGACAAAGATTACGAAGAGAAATACGACGATTTTGCAACGCAGCTAGACGGAAGCATATATATGCATAAAAATCAAGATTTGAAAAGTGTCGATGAAAGTGAACTTCTACGACATGCAAAACACATACCAAAAGGGCATAGCAAATTTCGTTGCGAAAAATGTCGCGCATTGAATGCTACCAATCGGCCAGGTGGACCAATTCATTTCTGCTGGGAAAGATATTTTCCTATTAGTGAAAGTACACCAGCTCAAAGTGCAATGAGTCTTAACCGCCTATGATAATATTCTTTATAAAAGTACTAGAGAGTCAACCTTAGCAAAAAATAATTTAAAATGCCAAATAACGGTAAACAAAAATAAGGGATTTTTATTTTATTAAGTTTATTGTTAAAATTTATCCATTAGAAATTTACTTTTAAATAAAGAAAATATTTGTAACACGTTTTAGTAATATAAAGACTTTCACTGATTCAAATTAGATACATATTTATACACAATATTTATACACAATAATTGAAAACTTTTTTTCTTTTTTCTTTTTGTCAAGTTCAAATAAAGCTTTGTTAATACTTGGCTCTAGTATTTATACCCAGCCAATAAATCACGTTTTAATTGTGGTATTTTAACGCGTTTTTAGCATTTCTTTAAGTGCAACTTTGAGTAATAATCGACCAAAAACGCTAATATTTTATAGTGAACTTCTTCAAAATTGCTAATTTTTTAATGTTGTTGCTATCCATACTAGAAACTCAATTCAAAATTTTGCAAAAAATATTTATTGGTTCTTCAGATATTAGATGTAAAAATTTGACTGAACTTTTTAAAAATTTGACCAAATGGTGCCAAAGCCATTTTTAAACTTGAAAAAAACAAAACAAACAAAGTAAAACTTTACAATGAGTATTTCACTTGAACATTATTTATTGGCTATTTCACACCAAAAGTTAATAAAACTGGTGAAAAAAAATTCCTTATCTAAATACCAGACTTTTAGAGAATTGTTTCTTTTTACTTAAATTGTAAAGTTTTCAGTCATAATTGAATAATTTTTCTTGCTAATTTTTTTTTTAATATCCAGAAATAAAAAATCCAACTAAAAAACAAAATTCTAATCTTTTGACGCATTGATTGACTTGATAATAGTTAAACACCCATTCACCCCTGCACCCATTCAACCTATTATGTGTATAGTTAGTTATTTTTAAGATATTTTTATTGTATGCATAAAATAAATAATAATGGAAAACCAGCCGACTCACTGAAAATATACAACCACGTCTTAAAAATAAAAAATACAGTTACAAATTCATTTAGTAAAGAGTTTTTACAAAAATCCAATTTTTGTAAAAACTCTTTACTAATTGAATTTGAAACTTGTATATTCTAATTATTAGCATTTTTATCAATTTTTAAATCGAAATAAAGAAGGCTTTGAAATAATGAAATTACTTAAAGTCTTAAAAATTTATTAGTTAGCTGGTGATTGGAACAAAAAATATAAAAAATCTCTAATTGAAAATTGTCTAAGCAGAAAATTTAACAAATGGCATTGTTTTCAATTTTCAATTTCATTGTTAACAATGGCTCATATTTTCTCTGCGTTGTCAATGCAGAGAAAATAAGTTCATACCATCGCTACACATTAAAAATAGGATGGAAACAAGTCTATGGTACTTCAAATATCAATCGACATTTGAAGGAACACTACTTAAAACTGAACATAAATCTACAGTTACTGATACTGATTTTATACCAAATGAGTTTTGAAAAAATCAAGAAGAACTTAATACTTCAAATGAAATCAGAGAAAATATAAACCTTGTCTTGGGATTTTCTTGTCCACCTTGGGACCAGTTTAATTAAATTTTAGTTTAACAAAGAAAAGCTTATCAATGAATCCACAAAGCAATACATGTAAAAAATATAAACGATAAAGGAAGAGACCTTGAGAAAAAAAATTCGCAGAACCCATTGTACCTGGTCAATTGAAAGAGATTTTGAAAGTGCTTGAGTGTAATCGGGATTGATTTAGAACTTGAAAAGTGAATAAGAAATGAGGCATCTAAGTGGTATGAAATATTACGCTGCGTCCTGGACATCACTCTTCATTTAGCTTCAAGAAATCTAAGTTTTTCAGGTGTGTTAGCAGTTTATGTTAATAAAATAATTTTAATGTTGCTTGGAATGTTAATCTAGATGTAATCTTTATTTCATTATTATGTTCATATTTGTGTAGGTTCATCAATCATACTGGACGATTATGATAATGGCAATATTTTAGCCACCTTTGAGCTTAGGAAACATAATAAGACACTTCAGTTTCATTTACAAAAAGTTTCTCGACACCAAAATGAGTTTATTATGGCATGTTATGAAACTGTTTTCGCTGCTATTATCAAAAAGGTTTACGCAACCATTTATTTTTCCATTATTGTTGATAGGATTCCGTACGTGTCTCATTCGGAACAATCACTTTTGTTCTTCATTTTGTCCGTCTAGAATCTGACAACCAATGGATAGTAAAAGAGCGTTTTTTGGAGGTAGAAAGTCTGGATAAAAAATCGTTCTGACATTGCAAAGCTGATTATAGACGTTTCGGATCAAAGCCGAATTAATTCAAAGAACAGGAACCGAACATATTAGCCCCGTTATCAGGGCTACGATAACGGGGCTAATATGTTCAGTGTATACAAAGGAGTGCAGGCCATCATTCTCGAAAAAAATCCTTAATCCTCATGCCTTGCAGTGCGCATAGTATCAAACTAGCTGGCGTTCATTTTGCAGAATCCTCTACTGTCTTTAAGAACTATTTTGGCAACATCCAATCGTTGAATAACCTTTATTAGTAGCTCAATGCGCTGGAAAATTTTGACTAAGGCAACTGGGAACTTCCTTCACCAAACGTCCCAAACAAGATGGAGTGCTTGCATAGAGACAAAGAGGATTTTCACACGTAAAAATCTCAAAATTTTAATAAAGTTTATCACAGTAATTAAGATTTTATCTGTTGTTAATTTAAATAAATAGAAAAAAATGCATGTTTTAAAGTATATTCTATAAAATCTATAAATTTGGTTTTTGTAAAATATAACGTCCTCTGTCTTAAAGCATACTTAAATACAAAGTTTATTTGCAGTTAGTGAAGTTTTTTGCATACAAAGTTTATTTGTAGTTTTTTGCATACAAAGTTTATTTGCAGGGCTATGATAACGGGGCTAATATGTTTGGTGTATACAAAGTAGTGCAGGCCTAACTAGCTTACACGTTTTATGTCAATCAACGAACTGAATAAATTGCAAAAAAAAAATTAGTTGAATAACTCTTTTTTGGGGAGGGAGGGGAGGGGTTAGTGTGTGTGTGCGTGTGTGTGACCTAAATTTTGAGAAGGCTGATTAGGAGTACAACAATATTTTTCATTACCTCAAATAAAAAATCATCCTTAAACCTTTAAACACTATGAAAATTTTAAAAAAAGATTGGCAGGGTATTTTAACTTACATTTAAATAGGATGACAATTGGATATTAACAATTAATTTGAAAATTTAACAAAAGTGATATTTATTTGTTTTTCAACCGAACAGTTTTTTTGTACAGTTACATAAATTACAAGCAAGTTTGATATTACTAGCTAGCAAAGAGTATGAACGACAAAAAATTTAACCAAATGAAGGTGAGATTTGCCATTTATTGTAATAATAAAAAAAATAACTTTATCAGAACAAGCTTTATCAAAAAAAAAAAAAAAGATCAATAATAGGCCGGGTGAATAAAAATGAGCAATTGCTTTTACTCAGTAATTGCTCAATTTTACGTGAATAAAAACTTAAGAAAAATTTCTAAAGTTTTTATTCAAGTAAAGCTGACCAATTACTGAGTAAAAGGAATCGCTTATTTTATTCACCCGGCCTAATTCTTCAAAAAAAAACATGAGTTTATTTTTATACAACTATACAAGAGGTATTCACAGAAACTCAAAATAAGCACACTTTTATTTTATTGGTTATACCAAATGTTACATAATGATATAAAAATTTTATACCACTATTTACACAATTACAAAAATTAAATACCAAAAATTTAATCAAAATTACATACCAAAAACCATATCGTTAACCTATTTATAAAATTTAAAAATACAAAATACATTTTATTCAAGTCTTTTTTCTTTAGGAGTATATAATTTAATATAAATTAAAAGCATAATAAACATAATAGTAAATAATAATTAAAACATCAAAACATAATAATAAATAATAACTAAAATATTTAAAGGTTTATCAAGGTTTGTTGCTTTATTTAATATTATTTACTACTTTTTAAATTTATTTATTGTTTACCATCAGTTTCTATTACAGGCTATCAAGTTATCATATTTTTCATTTTTTGTAAAACTTTATATGAATTTCTTGTTTCTTTTTTTATGGGAATTGTCTTTTGCTATTTTTTAATATTTAATTGAATTTTTTACAATTAAAAATACTTGAATAAAAAAGATCAATAAAAAGATGAAAATTAGAAAGAAAAAAAAAGTGACAACTTAACAGTTTGCTATTAGAGAGTAAACATTTTTTACCAATTATTATTATTATTATTATTATTATTATTATTTTGTTTATATCGTGTTACAATTATATAAATCGTAATACACTTATATAAATCGTAATACAATTATATAAATAACTTTATAAATAAAAGCTTTACAAATATAAACAAGGTTTCTAATAGAAGATCTCATTGATCTTGTCGTCAGAACCTTTTAAAAGCGTAAAAAGCAACAACAGTAAAAATAAATAAGAAATTAAATATTATACAGTGCGTTATTGCATATTAGAAGTAAGTCATATCGTTTATAGAAAAAATAAATTTTTTTAGTTTATTTTTAAAAAGTTCGAATGAAGTTGATAAATCAAAATTATTCAAAACAATTTTGATTTATCAACAATTATAGAATACACAATTATAGAATACACTAACCAATATTTTGTTCAAGTTAACAGCTATATATTAACTAACATGTATTTTATATGTATAAACTTTTGAAATCGAAATAACCAACAAGATGAATTTGTATGTTTGAAATTTTTCTTGTTTCTACCTTTTTACACTTGGTTTTTTATTAAGGTGTGGTAAGTTAAGAGTTGTTCTTCTTGGTAGACAATTTGCTATATCAAAACACACTTGTTGACATCAGGTTATAGACTTTTTCTTTAAGTTCATTAAATTCTTTGTAAGCTTTTATTGCTATACAATACCAAAACCAATCCAATTCAAACCAACTTTTGCTTACAATTGCTTTTTTTTTTTTTGAGAATGTTACAAATTACCTAGGCTAGCAAAACAATAAATATTGCAAATTACCTGGGCTACCAAACCAATAAGCAATATTCTCAAGCTTAAAATATCTTAGCAATGTATATAATTTATATATGGGATAAATAAGTGTAAAGTTCTGAAAAGAAATACGGTAATTTTTTTAAATTATTTTTAAATCAGCCAATCAGATAGCGCATATCTTTTTTTTTTTCAAAAATTGGGGTTTCAATGTTTTAAATGTATTTAATACGGTCCGGTTTAAAAAAATCAGTTCAAAAATTATTAACATATATTATAAAACATATTTTATAAGCGAATAAATAAATAATAAAAAAAGAGCTGTTTGGCTCACGTATAAAAGTCGTTATAAGCAACAAGTCGTTATAAGCAACAAGTCGTTATAAGCAACAAGTTGTTATAAATTCTGATTACATAATTAAAATTTGCTAAACTGATATAACTCAATAAACTATTTCTAAATGTTTTTTTTTACTATTATAAATAGGTTTAAAAATCCAAAAAAAACCTATATATTTTATAAAACACAAAAAAATATATATATAACATATTTTGTTAAATATATTTAAATATATATATATATATATATATATATATATATATATATATATATATATATATATATATATATATATATATATATATATATATATATATATATATATATATATAATATATTTTGTATAATATATTTTACAAAATATATTATATATATTTTACAAAATATATAATATACTTTATAAAATGTATAATATATTTTATAAAATACAAAAAAAAATAAAGACTTTTAAACGAGTTAAACAATCGTAGCCATGGTAAAGATAATTACACTCTTTTTCTTAAATCAATAAGTTGAGAAATAAGCAAGTATTGACATCCAATTTCTTGAGTTAATTTGTCTTTAAGTTGTAATTCGCTCACGAGCACCATAGAAGATTCTTGAATTAAAAGAAAAATATACAATATTTAAAATAAATTTTCATTGCATAAACAAAGTAGAAAACATCAAATAAAAATAAAATCGAAAAAAACAAAATAAACAAAAATTACTGACATAAAACAAGTTTTTGCAAACTTAACATTAATGCAATCTTTTAAAATTTGAGAAACCCTATGACCTAAAAAGGTATTTTTTAAACTTTTGCATGTGCAACGTAATTGTTTTAAACCAAACAAACAGCTCAAAAGAAAATTTGAATAGAAACGCCCCCCTTTTTTTGTGTCAGAACACAGTTAAAATAACCTAAATTATAACCTATTAAAAGTCATATTTAGAATAACTTCATTAAAAATAAAGTCATTTATAAATAACAATAGATCACAAGACATTATTATATATACTTACACTGTATATATATTATTTCATTAATTTTATAACTATTTTTAACTAATTTTTGAACACATCGTATAAAAATTTGTTTATATCTATAATAAATTTGTTATAAATTTTTCCAACATTCTTAAAAACTAAAAAAAACTTTTTTTTCCCCCATAGTAAATAATAACCAACCTTCCCTGTGAAAATTTTTCTATCTTATTCCAAAAGGCTTGTTTTCAATAACAGTCTTTCAGATCCTGAAAAACGGCAACTCTTGGAAAAAAAACTGACTAGAAATCAATTATGAATGGAAAATTTGCAATTTAAGAAAAAAGAAAGTGATGCTCAAAAATATACTTTTGTTCAAAAAACACATAAATCTCAATATCTCCTATGGGCATGGATGAACCCTTACATTACTACAGTGAAAGATAAGATTTCATTTATAGACATTTTATGTAATTTATGGTACTTTCTGAAAATAAAAACTCTGAAGATAAATGCAGTGCGCCAACTTGCCCCTGCTGTCAATTAGACCTGGTCTCCCTGATTGTTTAAATATGATTTTATGGCAAAAATAATAATACAATATAATATAGCAAAAATAGAAAAATAATAAAATGCACAAAATTGATTACTTGTTTTCTACAGACAAATAATAAGATAATAATAAAAATTTATATTTATAAAACAAATATATAAATTTCAAAATTTTTAGCTTTATTCCAACACATAAAAAAAAAAAATTTTTTCATAAACTAAATGGTGAGTGCCATTATATATTTTGCATATTTTGAAACCAAGGAAAAGTTAAAAAAAATCCAGTGAAGTGAACCAATCATAGATTAACTGACTTACAATGTCTTTTAATAATTGTAAAGTTCAAAAAACCTAGAATTAGTTAGGTCTACAGACTGCAAAGGAACATTTCCTTTACAGTTTGCAAACCTAACTTTATATAAAAACAAAGATAGCTCATATAGATTGTGTATGTAGAACTTATGAAACAGTTGTAATTACAGTTGTAATTCTGGAACCGTTTTTACTCTGGGTTATGTCAAAAAAATATATTTTTGACTTTTTTTTCCCTTTTTTATGGTGAAAGAGATAAAATAAATTGAAGAATACTAATTAATGAACTTCAAGATCAAATATGCATAGCTTTCCATAACAAAACCTGCAAAAAAAATGATTTCACCTACATATTATTTAAAAAAACACTATTTTTACTTAACCAAACAATTTTATCAATTTTCTTTCAAATTAACAAAGAAAAAATGGAAAGTACAGTTGTTAATGGGGAAACCATGGTAACATCCTTATTCCAGAAACATATAGCAAGGTGAGGTTTTTAAAATTACTTTTGCATTTGAAATTTTGAAATAAGTATTGTTATTTATAATAATATGGATCGCAGTATCTATTGCTTCACAGGGTGGAAAATGTTTTGAGCTTTTTACTCAAGATACTGAAAGGAACAGGTTCTTTTTTAAACAGGTTGTTTGTACAGGATGTCAAATTCTTTTTTTTTTGTAACTATTATAATTATTATAATTATTACATTATTCTGACAACTCTGTTGTAAAAACTACTTGCCATTTTAAAACACAAACTGTTGAAAAGTATAGGAAGGAAAAAAAAACTACTATATTTAAAAGTATTGTCTGGTTAGGCAACCCTACTGGATGGTCCTAGATTACCACCTGCTTCATATAGGGCAGGTGACGCCTTAAGCCGTAGCCAAGTTGAAACAAGTTAAACGAAGGACAACCAGGGACATGTTGGAGCTCAAACTTAGAACTTCTTACAAAGCAGGCAATCTACCATTACACTACTTCTGTATTGCGCAGTAGTTGGTGCATCCAATACCAGTAGTACTATACTATATACAGAAATAATGGTATTTCTGGCCATTTTTAAGTACTGAAATACCGGTATTGGGTTGGTTCAATACTGGTAATTTTGTGCTAAAAATTTAAAAAAAAATTAAAATTTATTTTTTAATTTTGTTTTAAAAAAATGTAATAATAATAAAGCATTGCTTGTTCAAATGAAAAAATAGATTTCTTAAAATATATGGATAATGAACACAGGAATTTCAATGCTTTGGCACAACTGTTAAAGTCAGAATAAAATTGCAAATTTTATGATCAATTACAATCGTTACAGTCTAAATATCTTTTTGCCTCCTTTATTATTTAATTAGTGTTAAAAAGGCAAATGTCTTAAGTTGTTAATATTTATTATTATTTATTACTTTGTCTTGAATTTCTGAGAAGCTTGATACATTTCAAACTAAGACAAAACAAAAAACATTTTAAACTGAGACATTTGTCTTTTTAAACACAAGTTTTAAACTCTCAATCAATTCTAGAAAATAGATTATGACGCATATTATGCTGTTAAATAGATAGATTTATGTCACTTAAATATCCAGAAACATACAACATGTCCAAAAAAGTATCCAAAGAATTCAGCATGAGCACCCAAGTTGACAAAAATTCATGGTAAATCAAATTGCAAAATGTAAGAAATGAAACAAAGAGATCAATCGATGGAAGCACAAGTGGAATCCATATGCATCTAATAACAAATCATGAAATCAACTGCTAAAAAAAAAAATTGCCTTAAGATGTAGTATTGTCACTGGATTTGTTTTTATTGGCTCTGTTTCCATCATAAAAACCTTTGTTTTTATGTTGTTTCCTTTTTTTCTAGATTGACTGCTTCTAGAAAAAATTTACACAGTTCTTCTAGAAATAATTTATAAAAATTTATGATGAATTACAATGAAGACATTGGATGCATTAAAACTGAAGAAGCTTCCGTAATGTGTTTTATAATGAAGCGGGACATTTAAGAAATTGTGACCAACAGCTTTGCATTGTGCATGGCATTTAAATGGGTGTACAAGACATTTTGTAAAAATCATTAAAAAAAGCTTGGAAGGAACATACAAGAATAAAAATAGAAGTGAAAATGACAATGATAATAAAGATAAGAGCACAGACAATGATGAAAACATAACCAATGATAAAGTAGAAGACTTTTCTGGAAAAGTCTTCAACTTTATCATCGGAATGAAGAGTTAATCCTAGAAGACAATGGGTAGATGACTCATGGAGTACATAAAGATTCAATTCATAAATATAGAATGATCTAGATTGTTACAATAATAATTCTAATTTTATTGACTTCACCAGCAACTGATAGCCCTATGCTAAAGAAGAAGTGAGATCTATTTCAAGCTCAAATGCCTCCTCCAAGCAATTAGAGAGTGTTGGTTTGTTATCAAGACAAGAATAAATTGTAGCATCATCAGCAAACAATGCTACCTTGAATGTGAGAATTTCTGGGTGATTACCCCTGAAGTTACAGGATATGAAGAAGAGTCTTAACCATCAAGGGCAACTTTTATACTATGATTGATAAGGAAGAATTCAATAATCTTAAAGATATACAGTAAGAAAAGACCTTATGGAGAAGACTATCATGCCAATTTTTATCAAAGGCTTTTAAGATGTCGAGAGCAATAGCATTTTCATATAAAATTAACAACAACAGAAACAATATTAAAAATTGTAATAATAAATTCAATAATAACAATAATATTATTAAAAGTAAAAAAAAAAAAAAAAAAAAAAAAAACTAACCTTCTACTAGACTAACTAATTGTTTTAAAAGATGATTTAATTCGGTGCAGTTCATTTTGAGTACTAAAAAAAAACTATTAATTTTAAGCTAACCAAGAATGCATAACTAATCTGAATAAAAAACTTTAAATTACTCCCCTGGCAGTATTTATAATATATAGAGCAGTTTCCTATTTTCAAAAATGTCCTTAATATGTATTTGCTTGCACTTGTAACAAACTATTAAAAGGTATAGGTAACCAATTATTAAAAAGTACTGGTAACCAACTATTAAATAATATAAAAAAACTACTCACATTCATTTTTGTAATTATTTCTCGATATATTTTCATCAGCTTCATTTGTATAATTTTTGTAATTATTTCTCGATATATTTCCATTGGCTTCATTTGTATAATTTTTGTAATTATTTTTAGAAGCTTTGAGAGAGAATTGATTTGATTGTTTAATACATTCAGTTTGACAAATAGTCTTACTTTCTGTTATATAATTTTTAACTGAAGCAATATTGCTGTTGTCATTATAAATACTTTGATTAGTCTTTTTTTTATAACTACTTTTTAAATTACGTTCAATAATGTCAGCCCATTTCTTTAAACAATAATGATGAGCCATTGTAATACGACCAATATGTTTAGATTGGGAACCTTCAAATGTAGTAAACTCATCATTTAAAATTACAGAAACAATTTGTTCGTTTGTTATTTGATGACATATTTCGCACTTATTATTGTCATTTAAGTCAACACTAACAAAACTTTCATTGTCCATTTTTATTTGTACCAGGTATTCCATATTTAATATAAAATATTACTAAAGATAAAAAGGGAAAATATGACAGAATTTTAATAATTAATTACTAATATAAATAAAAAAAA